TTTAGTTGTGGACAATTCTTCCTTATGTGCCCCACCTCTTTGCATTTGTAACATCTCACTTTCTTTGACTTTCCAAGTGAATTACTGCGTGTATGACCTTTGCTACTATTTCCTCTCTCCATGCTTCTGCCTCTGCTAGCAGTCAGACCTACATCATCCACATTAGAACTAGAGAATACTCTTCTCTTCAATTCTTTAGATTGTAAGTTGTCCTTCACATTGTTGAGAGTAATACTATCCCTGCCATACAACATAGTACTCATATGATTTTGGCAGAGAGCATAACAAAATAATAGCTAGATCCTCATCATCAACTTTAACTCCAATACTCTGTAGGTCCAAGATAATTCGGTTAAAATTATCAAGATGATCTCTCATAGACATATTCTCAAACATCTGCAAGGTATAGAGACGTTGCTTCTGATACAACCGATTGGTTAGGGATTTCTGCTGGAATTTATCTTCCAACATCTTCCACATCCCTGCAGCCGTTGTCTCTTCACCTACCTCTCGCAGAACCTCATCAGTCAAACTCAAGAGAATCAAACTGTGCGCCTTTTTCAACATCGCTTTCTTTTCATCATCAGTCATAGTTATGGGTAATTTATCCGCACCCTCCAGTGTTGCAGCGCAACCCTAATGCACAAGAACCTCTTTCATCTTCAATTTCCACAAAGTGAAATCATTCGATCCATTGAATTTATCAATATCAAATTTGTACGAAGACATTGCGTTCTTCAGATCAGGCCATAGCGTAACCTAGAGCTCTAATACCAATACATGATGACCTCCCTCATGATAGCGGGACACGCCTCCTAACCCTCCATGTTACTGGAAAGCCTGTCTTCCACATGGACCCACCGTTAGGAATACTTTCGACACAAGGGATCCCAAACTTGGATCCACCTACCAGCTACCTGCCAGCCATCATACTCGTCGAGCCGGTCACCTGATCAGGCCATCGGCTCTGATACCACTTGTTGAGCACCGGGGGGTTACCACACATATACACATGTCTCCACATTGGTGAGATACTGCCGCTTTGGGCCCAAACCCTCACGGATTTGCTTTTGGATATCACCCAAAAGGCCTCTCTATCGATGAAGACAAGTGTGTGTGTATAAACCTATGTCCATCCTCTTGTTTGAACGATGTGGGACTTTGCTTGTATCCCAACACATGGCTTTTCCCCCGGGTGAGTAATAGGGATGGATGATTGTGGCCTGTGTTGGCCTTTTCCAAGATCATTGTCGAAGATTTTTGGTTGTGTTCATTTGTAACTTGGGCATCATACTTATAGTAGTCAACGCGGAATTGCACAAGCTTGTTAGACATATAACATACAAGTCATAGGTCAGGATAAATTTCATTTTGAGAAGGTAAAACAAATTGATTTTCTCCTATAAATTAAAATTAACTTATGTACTTAATTTTTATAGAATTTCTATCTACTTTCTCCAAAAGTTTAAGTGCATGAGTTGATTTTATCATAAAAGAGAAATTCAATGCATTTTATCTTATTTTCTTCTTCGTAAGTGCTTTTAAAAAAAATTTATTCAAACATTATATATGACTAATGACTTTTAAAAACTACTTAATACTTCATTTGCATCCAGTGGTATAGGTTGATGGTGGAAATGATTTTTTGGTTGGTTAATCTCTATATATATATATATATACATATATGCAAATATCTCATGCAATCAACGTGGTGCTGGAATACACTCCTCCTCTGTCTGGGTTATTTTGTCAAGATGCTTTGGTGTTAGCTTTGTTTTGTTTTCTTGGGCTTTTGCCTCGTTTAGCCTTAACCAAATATGTCTACTAGTTAACAGCCTAGCAACAAATTGGCATTGCAAACTTTGAGCTAGCGGAAAAATGGGCTCATTGACCAATTTGGGATACTTTTCAAAACTATTTATGTAAATGGGATTGTTTTAAAACTATTTACACTTTTGGGGCATTTTAGTATTTTACTATAGTGTCGTTATGGGCCATAGCGACACCACTGACACATGTACTTTTTTTTTTTTTTTTGTAATTACGAACGACTAAAATTTAGCCAATAAAAATTGTTATAGGCTGTAGCGACTTTTGCAAAGTTGCTATAGGCTACACCCCCATTTAAAAAATATAATTAATATATATTTTTTATTATTAAAATAATATTTTATCTAAAGGCACTATGGGCTATAGCGACATTGTGTCGTTATGAGTCATAGTGACACTACCTTTTTTTTATTAATATTTTCATTTTATTTTGTTCAATTTTTTGTTTAATTTAATTAAATTTATATTTTCAATTTTTTGTTTATAAATTTAATTATAAATAATTATTTGTGTAGTTTTAATTAAATTTTTTTTTTAAGTCTATTAAGATTTTTTTATATGTTAATTTAAAAAAAAACTAACAAAAAAATAAGTATTTAAAATAAAATTAAAATATGAAAATGAAAATTAAAAAAAAAAGGAGAAAAGGATGTCGCTATAGGTTATAGTAACTTCTATTTTTTTTTAAAAAAAATTTATTTACTTATTTTCTTAATTTGTTATTTTATTTTATATTATCAATTTAAAAAGACTCCACACTTGAACCGCTTAAAAAGCAACACCTCTTCATATTGTATAATAGGCACGAAAGCACCAGCAGCATCCAGAGGAAGAATATTGTAAGGCGTATAAATCTCCATCTTCGCCTGGACATCTCTGACAGCCGCGATAATCTGCACACACAAATTGATATTGAAAAATGCACACATAGTCGCTATGACCCATAAGGCTTTTCAGTCGCTATGCGACATTGTTTATTTATTTATTTTATTTTAAAATTTTTTTATTTTTAATATTTAAATTATTATTTTTAACAATATTTATTTATTTTATTTCTTTTATTATTTCCATTATTTGTACAAAATTTTCTTTCACATATTTTTTTTATATATTTTTAAATTACATTTATATATTTTTTTAATGCACAACAGAGGCGTTATTGTTCATAGTGACAGTGTGACGCTATGGCCCATAGTGACCTTATTTTTTTTAATTTTTTTTAACAATTATTTTATCAATTTTGTTAAATATTTTTTCTTTATCCTTCTTTTTTTCTCTCGTTTTTTTACACTTTTTTTTGTTCACTTATTTTTATCTTTTATTTTTTTCCTGTTTTTTCCTTCTCAACATCTATTTTTCTTCACATTTATTTTATCAATTTTCAAATAAGTTTTTTAATAAAATTAAATTAAATTGTGTCGCTATAGGCTATAGCGACTTTATTTGAAGCGCTACCGGCTACAGCGACTTTAATAATATGACGTTCATGGCTTGTAAAATAAAATAAAATTACACGTGACACTAGTGTCACTATGGCCCATAGCGACACCCTTGTAAACAGTCCCAAAAGTGTAAATAGTTTTAGAATAATCTCATTTTCGCAAAATGTTTTAAAAACGACCCTACAATGGTCAATCAGTCAGAAAAATGTGAAACCATGTTTGAATTAGCTTGAAATTGCTTAAAGGTAAAAATGAACTAAAGTTTCTTAAGATTACTAAAATACTTGCGTTGTTTGACTTGTTTCTTAGTCGATACAATGGCTAATTACATAACTGGTTACAAAATTCATGACTTGGCAACTATGAAGCACCGATACTTCAATTTGCTTCACGTATCCGTATCCGATATGTATCCGACACGATACTCTTGGATACTTCACCGATACGTGTCAATGAAGTATCATAGCCTTTAAAAATATTATAAAAATTTTATTCAATTCCGATACTCTCATATACTTCACCGATACTTATTGGTGATATGTATCGATAAAGTATTCAAATTTTTGAAAAATTATGAAATATCCATTACAGTTAAATAAGATATATAAATATGTTTAATATAGAAACATAGAAATATTGGTCCTTGATGAACTGTAAATGAGAATTGTCTTCTATATAGATAATTTTAAGAAAGAAATGAAATTGGTAATATTATTTCTATTTGTAAATAATAAAAAGTAATTTATGATGAAATGATTTATAATTTATTTATTTTTAGTAATGTACAATAAATATGTTTTTAATTTAGATTTGTAAAATAGCAATTATATATTTAATATTTATGAATTTTGATCAAAATTACAAGTACATAATTATTATATTATATGAACATTGATATATATAATGACACGTATCTTACAAGTATCGTATCTTATATATTTTAAAATAATCGTATAGTCGTATTGTATGGGTGCATCATAGCTTGGCAATGAGAGAAGATGGGCCACTAGAAGTAGAAGCAGACGGGGAAAACAAAGAACTGGGCACCAAACAACCAGGTCCCAGCTTAGGCAGTTGAAACATTCGTGAAGATATGACAGTTCATGATTTCATTCTTTTAAAAAAGAAAAAAAAAAATTCTTTAAAACAACGTTGTCTGGATTGTAAATTAATATATATATTTTGTTTTATCAACCATTGATATTATTTACTTTACCATGACTCACTTTAGATAAGCTGTGGACAATGGCCAATTGCAACAAGCCCCAATTGGATCGTTATTATGCCACGCGTTTTAACAGAATGTCAAGGTTTAAGTGGCACTCAACAAGTTGAACGGGAAAAGAATAGTTGGAGTGTCCACTGAATGCATCATATTGACATATCTGAAGGAATATAACCTAGAGCTGTTTGTTAGTTCCTAAATGTCTTTTATTTGTCTTGTAGTGCAATTAGTAATTCCAGAAATGATTCTCCCATCATCCTAGTAATTCACTGGCACGAGACAGAAATTATATCTAGCAAAAACTTGTAAACATCGAGGTAACATCTTAATGCAGTTCAGGGAGAAGGAGAACAAATAGTTGGTTCTGCTATACGATAATTATTATTAATGGTTAATTCTGAGTTTGACACCTGTTTTTAAACCTATAAAAAAGGGTCTCGGATTATATCAATATAGGAAACTAAAAATGTTTGTTTCTTGAAAAGATCAACGACCAGGTGATGATGACAAGGTCAAGAGGTGCACTTTAAAACTAGTTCTATCTATTCCTCCTTCACCTGGGGAGTTTCTAGAACACAACTATGGTTTCATTCACTCAGCTTCTTTCTCTTCTTTTCCCTTTGATGGCTACCACTTCTGCCTTTGAGGTATCAATCAAAGCAACTTATTTGGCTCCTTTAAATTGCTCTGCTAAGATCAGGACATGTAAGGCCTCCCTCTACCACATAACCCAAAATCTCACAATTGAACAACTTGCCTCTTTTTACTCGGTTATTTCTTCCCAAATCACACCTATAATGTATGGCACCAAACAAGACTACCTCATCACGGTACCTTGTTCATGCAAAAACACTAGTGACCTTAGCGGATATTTCTATGACACAATCTACAAAGTGAAGCCAAATGACACTTTTGTGAATATTTCAAACTTGATTTTTAGTGGGCAAGCCTGGCCAGTTAATGATACATCGCAGTTGCATCCAGACGAGAATTTAAGAATATATATTCCATGTGGGTGTTTAGAAAGTGATTCTCAAATAGTTGTTACCTATACAGTTCAACCTAATGACACAACAACAATGATTGCTAATCTGCTAAACGCTACACTGGCTGGCATGCTGAGCATCAACAAAATTCTGGCTCCAAACCCTGAATTTATAGATGTTGGTTGGGTGCTATTTGTTCCCACAGAATCCAAAGGACTTATACCTAGTTCTACTAACAAAGATGGTGATTTTTCTGCCTCTACCTCTGCATGATTCCATTATGCATGATACTTACTTATTACTTTCTTATGTAAATTGTGGGTTAAGTTTGTGTCAGAAATTGCCATTTAGCCATATGCTGTGTTTGTAAGAACTTAGAAATTACCACATCATGATTCATAACTTCAAAACGCCATTAAGCTTACATTGATACTTTGATAACAGTAGTGTTACTTCAATATTTAAAATTAAGGCCAGCAGCAAAACTTCTATATTTATGTTAACAACCTCAACAATCGTTTAGACTTTAGAGGTTTCATTTTCTTAATCATTACATTAAGGGAACAGCATTTTAGATCAACTCTTATTTTAATGTTACCTGCTATCTAAGGCTACAATATTTTGCATTTTTTGGCGCCCCACCCCTATTTCTGAGAAAGAAAAATATCAAATATTTCATTGAACACTTTCCACTTCATCTGATAATGTTTCTCTTGATTTGAATTCAATACTAGAAAGTAGTTTAAGTGGGTAATGAACTCGCATTTTTCACCAAATGATGTTCACTGACCAAGTGAAGTTTGGCAAGATAGTTTTGATCCTAACAAATTAAATAAATGCATTTTTTGTGTTAACAGTCACTCTTGATATCAATTTCTCTTCCTTTTACCTTGTTGGCAGAGAAGACATCCAAGTGGACAACACCAGTCATTGGCATCTTAGCGGGCATGACATTACTTTCAGTTATTATAACAATCATTCTCATTCTCAGAAGAAATAAAGTCAAACAAATCACCAGAGAAGATTTACAAATTATCTCGAGAAGATCGATTGCCAACAGAACTATTTCCTCAAAGTATAGCCTTCATAAGGAATATATGGAAGGTAATTTAAAATGCAGTTTTCGTAACAAATGCAACTTGTGATTCAAATATAAATTTTCTAGTCGTAGTCTATACAAAGAAAGACTTGCTTACTCTTGGTAAATGTTGATGCAGATGTAATTTCATTTGAATCAGAAAGACCAGTAATATATAACCTTGAGGAGATTGAAGAGGCTACACATAACTTTGATGAAACTCGAAAAATAGGAAGTGGTGGATACGGAAGTGTTTATTTTGGAATGTTAGAGAATAAGGTATGCAAATAACAGCTACATTCTTTAATGATCCCCAACAATGAAAGCAGAACCTTTTTAATGTGTTGACTAAAATCTTGGAGATTATTTAACTACAGGAGGTTGCTGTGAAGAAGATGAGATCTAATAAATCTAAAGAGTTCTATGCAGAACTCAAAGTCTTGTGTAGGATCCACCATATCAACATTGTAAGTAATACCTCTAATGGTTTTTTCTTTGACATAATGTTAACAGATCTAGAGACTAGAATTAGAATTTAAGACTGATATATGATCTAAGACCCAACATTGGATCCATGACCAGAGCACAGGTTAAGCTGACTGAAATATCACTTACCCTGACAAGCTTCACCAACACAGAAATATACAGTAAAATAATTTTTAAAAACAGATCATCCTTCAAATCTTTCAAAATTTTAGAAAAATTTCTCCCAATTTCATAAGTTTCATAATTGAATGTCATTAAACAAAATCAAAACAACTGTTCCTTTCTCAGTTTACAAATATATAATCATGTTATTGAACAAAAATCCATGATGTAATAATTTTGGAGTGATTAAGAAAATAGTGAAAAGACTTGCTTTTCCAAGCAAATAATATTAGACCATAATAACATAGCAAAATAATTAAAATAATATTCTAAAATATATTAAAAATTGTCACACTGATCACTATCCATTGCAAGAGAGGTGAGCAATATTTATTTCTAAAGGCACTATTCCCAACCCAAAAAACTCAACACTGTGGAAGAGTTGTTTGAGTGAGGAGGAAAATAAATGGAACTCAAAGGTTTCTTCAAATTTTAAATGGATGCTTGAAAGTGAGGTAATGAAAGCAACAATGGAGGATTGGAGTTTCGGCCATCTTTTAGAAGAAAAAATGTTGTTTAGTTGATTCTTTTGAAAAAATAAAATGGTGCTTTAAATTTCATAATCACTATTACAGGTGGAGCTGTTGGGATATGCCAACGGAGAAGATGACTTGTATTTGGTGTATGAGTATGTTCCAAATGGATCTCTTAGTGATCATCTTCATGATCCATTACTGAAAGGTATTTTGGATCAATAGCTTTAAATATTTTCTTTTTCTTCTTTTCCTGGCAAAAATAAACGTAAGAGACTTGATTCAAAAAGTCAAGGAAACAGAAGAATTATTAATATTAGTATCACCACGATGGCCACAAGACCAGTCCTAAAACGCAGATAATAGGGATGGTTTGTGATCTTCTATTATGGTAACTTCGGCATCATATAATAATGACATTTTACTCATTATATAAAAAAAAAATGAAAACTAACCTACAAATTAGGAAGGGATATTAAACAAAACTAATATCATGGAGAAATTGTTAGTCTGAATGACACTAAATTTGAACTCTTTGAATAAGACATCAAATTCGAATATCGTGGATGGAAAAAATGTCATTAGTATAACTTGTGAATACTTCGTACCAATAATATGTTGATTAAAAAAACAGAACTAACATCAAATCAACATTCATAAGACTATAGTCTGTTAGTTTGATCCAAAATGCCAGTAATTAAACTTAATACACATATATAAAACCAATCACAAAGCTCTTTAACAAAACTATTAGTTCAGGGAAAAGTAAAAAATATATACATATCAAGAAATCTGAAGCATGATTCTGGAACAGGGAACCAGCCTCTTTCTTGGAGTGCAAGAGTTCAAATTGCATTGGATGCTGCAAGAGGTCTTGAATATATACATGATTATACAAAGGCACGATATGTGCACCGTGATATAAAGACTAGCAATATTCTACTTGATGACAAGCTCAGAGCAAAGGTACTTATCCCTTCAATTCTTTACTTCTTTTACTCACTTCTAGCCAAAAAGTACTCACACTAATTCTTCTTTTAAGGAAAAATTATGGTCCCTAACCAAAAACAAATATTTCAATATCAATAGTTAACATCAACCTGAATCATCAATTCACAAGGTAACATCAACATGCATGTGCTGTTAAGGACAAAACTTATATACAGGCTCCTAGTAAAACTTGTAATGTTCTCTAATTGTAGTTTGACCTTGGTAATTTACACAATAAAGGTTTTCTTTAAATAATTATTCAGATTATCAAGACAAAACTCTAAATTTAATGGGATAATGGCACAAACCTTAACTATGGAATTGTACACAAGTTTTGTTCTACAGTTAAACAGAACAAGATGCTCTCCAATCATCATGCTTTTATTTCTTAATATACCATTATCTCTTATAAGAAATACTGCTAACCAAAGATTTCAGGATTAACTTGCTGCTGGGAGAGTAAGTTCATTTATTTGTGAAATTACACTGCATCAATCAATCAATCATTAACTTAACATTTGATACGAAGGTGGGAGATTTTGGACTTGCAAAGCTGGTAGATAGAACCAATGATGAAAGTTTTGTGGCAACAAGACTCGTAGGAACACCAGGCTACCTTCCCCCAGAGTACGGATTTATGTTTTCCATTCATAATTATAATTTTAGTGCATTCAATGGATAAACAATTTTCCTGGCATCAATAATTTGCTTGACTTAATTAAGGAAAGAAAAATTGTTTTCCCATTTAATTTTGAAGTGTGCTAGCAACATATTTTATAATACACTCCTCCTAACTCTTGTTGTAAACATTTATTGAAAACTACAAAATGATGATAAATTTATTAAAATAGGATGTTATGCTTACAAGTTGTGATTTTTAATAAATTTTGGTTAACAAGAAA